ATATATAATGACCAATAACTTTAGATAATTTAAGGCAAATTGTTTTAATTATACAGTTGTTAGTTGATATTCGTTGTCATGTCAACTAACTGAAGCCAGCATACTGAAAATATTATTTTTATTTTTTATATCATATTTAACAACCCAGCTGTATATCGGTGGTTTAGCGGCTCGTTTAAAATTATGTATATAGTATATATATATATGCTTTTTGAATAATATCAAAAGCTTACTAGGTATCACTGAGAAAAATCGTATGGAGGCCCAGGGAAAGGTTATTATGATATTATTCCATGGATCTGGGCTTGCGAATATCAATTATATCATTATAATATGATATATATATATAATATATATACATTTATATATGAAATATATTTAGCACTCTATACCAGGTAGACAAACCATATGTATAAAATATAACTATAAACACACGATACAATTTTACTATTATATTATAAACATATCTATATCTATATCTATACTTATACTACTATATAAAATGAAGTCTCTTTTTTTTTGTTCGGGACAAACTCCGAAACTACTTATTCAATCGTCGTGCAATTTTTTTTAAATTAAAGAGGGCATCACAGAGAAGGTTTAAGGCAAAAAATTAGGCCGATTAAGTTAATAAATAATAATTAGTTATTATTAATTAAAATAAACGTGTAAATTGGATACCTATATATATATATATATTATTGTACATATTGTGCGCTCGTGTCGCCTGGCAAATACATAAACATTGTTATTTTATTAACTGTTGATTGTTGGCTGGTTTAATCATTTAAAGGCGTAATTGATTGTAYTACTTTCATTTTTAAAATGCCTAGACGAAAGTCGATCTCGGAATGTTGCTAAAAGAATGCGAGTAGTACGTAGAGAACGACAGTCAAAAAAGTTTTGTTTATTTTTATTAAAATACAATTTTACAATGTTATTTAATTATACGGACCGCTGTATTGAATGTGAAAGTTGCCCTCCCTATAGCAGTGAACCATATTGAATATTTAAATTATAATGCTGCTAATTGTGTTTTCTCAGTACAATCATATTTTCTGTTTTGTCTAACCACTTTGTTTTTACGTWGCTGAAGTGTTGTCTGTATATTATATGGTGTAGCACACATTACTTTAAACTTGTTCGATTGGTTTTATTTTTGGTAATCTTTTAAAAAAATTAATATTTTCAATTAATTTGATAAGTACTTGTTCAATAATATTGTTATATAGTTAAAGAAAAAAACAGCAAAACAATGCTTTGTCAGGTGTGGGGTTCGAACCCACGCTCCCGTTTGGGAACCAGAGCTTAAATCTGGCGCCTTAGACCGCTCGGCCAACCTGACCATATGATTGAAAAAGTGAAAGTACCAATCTTGTATCAATGCAAACATTAATTAGGTATATTRAACTTTGAATGAAGTAAAGAATATAATATATTAAAGATTATATATTATAGACTCTATTATTGATTTTAGGGAAACGTAATTTTAGATTCTGAACGGAGCGAGGAATGTATTGATTTTACCATGGTGTATGTTTTTTTTGTGTCTGTCATCACGTTTTGGGGCAATAAAGGTGCTTCAATCTTCGACTTCAGTACCTACCTCGTTCGATCAGAAAGTGAATCTAGTTGGTACTTTGGGGGGACAAAAATAAAATATTCTCAATATTAAATAATCGGGATAAACAAACTAAAAATTAAGGAAAAAACGGGAATTTTTACGCATAATCAGTTTTCCACAAAATCGATTTTGGTTATTGATGTACCTTTAAAACGATAACGACCTTAGATACATGAAATTTTTACCGAATGTTTAAATTTAATTCTATCCACCATGCAATCTTCAAACCATTTTGACTTATAAGTTGAACTATTTATAGGCGTATGCAATTTTCGATCATTATTCATTTTTTTTAAAATTAATATCGATAAAATTTATTTGCTTGGTAAAAAAGCTTGAAAATTTAATACACAAGGCTCCTAACATATTGTTACAATAGCAGTTGAAAAATAAAATAAATTCATAGTCACGAATTTTTTTTTTATAAGCATTCAAAGTTTGAATTTTGACAAAAAACGTAAAAATCACAAAAATTCGCAAATTATTTTAAGCTATAGAAACTCAGTGCCATAGAAACCGCGGTGCGGGCGGTTCATTGCACCGGGGCCTCGCGTTAAAATTTCTAATATGTTATATGAGGCCCATACTTAAATAAAATAATATAAGAATTAAGAATCCATGCTAACAACAATTTTTTTCATAAGATCATAATATAATGATAATGYCGTTAGCACTTTGTTATTTTAGTATAATATAGCACCGCCAGGCTTCAAATTAGCACTCCCAGTTCCCATATAATAACATGTAATAATATAATTAAATTTAAATGTTTTGAATACATAATATATTATGTACAGTATAGTTGCTTAATAGCTTAAATAAATAAAGAGTAGCGATTACATTAACATTTATACAATTTTCAACTTTATTATTAGTTATTAATTTGTCTATACAAAGTATTGAAGAAAAATTAATTAAAATTGTAATTAATTATATTTGACATTTGTATTATAATTATTAAGAAGTAAGAATATAAATAAGTAAAAATTTAAAATTATTGCAATGCAGTTTATCATATTATTAGTGGGGTTGTGGACTGTGGGTGCTATAAGCCTCCCACAAATCTGTGTACCATCAACTATATCAGCACCCCCTACATAAAAGGGGCCACAAATTTAATTTGCACTGGGGCCCATCTATTTCTAGCTACGACACTGTAGAAACTCTTAAAAAAATTTCTTTTTAAATTTAAGATTTGAAAAGTTTTTAATAATCTATAATTTATCCTAGACAGATAAACCGTCTCCGCTCAGAGTCGTTTTTCGTATGCATTGATATAATGTCATTGGATTCAAATTTAATTTCATCTATTACAGTAACCCATTTGTAACCTACTGTACAGCACAGCGATATCCACTTTCCTGCTTTTTTTTTATCAGAACTAATAAGGCTTCAACTACTTTATACTAAGGTCATTAGCCTTGCAAACAGATCCTCCTCTGCTGTCGGTTCTAACAGGAAAAAAAAAGTCATTAGCCTTTGTGATAGTGTGTGTTTGTGGGGGTGGGGAGTGGTTGCAGTGGCGTACACAGGATTTTTCAAAGGGACGTGTGGACCCTGTGGACGCCACTGGGTGGTCGGTTTAAACATATTTTGAATGTATGGCAAGAAATTTTTAAGAAAAACCTGGGTGAACCTGGGGATATCTGAGAGTACACTCAGAGCGTTTCAGCAGTTGTGCCACCGCGCTACACTAGGCCACGAAGATGTATGATAATATATGATTGTGGTCTTAAACTATACGTTTACATAATTACATGACGTATGCAAATTAATTAAAATTTTGATTTATTTAATAATTTWAACACCAAAAAATTGATTTGCACAAATTGGATATTTCTTACGAAGATATTGTTTATTTTTTTGTGATATTTTGTTAACATATTTGATCCCTAATTACCATACGAATATATATATATTACTATAAAAATTTAAAATAGTATACAATATATTCATTGATTTAATAATCAATGCAGTAACTAATGTATCAGTAATTATTAACAAAACTTAAGTTAAATACTTTATTAAGCCATATTTTGTATTCTATTGATTTGTTGGCCCTTTCTAAAGTTAACTTCACAATGCTTAAGATAATTTTTGATAATCTGAGACCCAAATTAGATTAGATTATAAGTGTATAATGTGTTTTTAACATTGACAATAATGATGATGTTGAGTGATAAAGTACCCTTGTTTTTTATGTTTAGTATAATATTTTTAATTAATCAACAAAAAATAATAACATAATGTCTTGATTAATTTTACAATGACTTTTTATGATGAACTATATAGGTAGAATTATTTATTTTTTGTTTGTTAACAGTGTTAAAGAATTGATAACTTGAATTCTTACATTATTATTCAGTCGATTTAAGCAAAGTATTAATTGGTGTTCATCTAAAATTATAATTTTTTTAAATCTTAAATCATTATGACACGTATGAGTACGATACAATTACATAACATTAATGATCAAACAATRGATTATATTAGAAATAAATATTCTATGCTACCTACCATCAACTAATAATCGATACCTACCTAATATTATGTTATATAGAGGCAAACTTCTCAAAAAAAAACAAATACTAAATAGTAAAGAAATTATTTATAAACAATTTATATACATTCCTATTTCCAAGAAAGTAATAACAACGAAAAAACGTTTCTAGAAAATATATAATATCTTTTTACATTTTCAAATTATTTTTGTCAATTTACAAAACATCAATAATTACCATTAGAAAATTAAGACATTCAAATCCAAAAATGGAATGCCATTTAATTATATGATACTGAAATGGTTGTTGCAGTATATATTATTATACGTAGAGGTTGTGACTTTAAAAATTGGAATGGGGTAAAATATAACGCCTACAGCACATACACAGATTAATAGCAAAAAAAAAAAATTAAAACTCATAACAATATAGGCTATAAATAACAGTACAAAACTAATATGGAAGATAATAATTTTTGTACAGGATTAAAAATAATTAAAAAAAATATATGGTAATAATAATAATAATATAAATATAAATTGTGTTAGTAAAGAAAAACGGATATAATATTATGTTATGAGGTATTGGCTATTTTTTGAGGGATGACAGAGTTCTAAACATATTATATAATCAAATATAAGTAGGCGGTTACATATAATGGTATGATCGAAAGCCTTATACCGGGGTCGAGTAAATTCGTCGGTTGTATTATCTATTGCTCTATATAAAACCGACGGCGGCATGATCGTATCCCGTTATATATTATAATAATTWAAAAAATTAATATAATATAATCGTTATACGATACAATATAGTCATATCGAACTCTGTCGTCGTGGATCGCGCCGCCGCCGTCACGTCATCTTCGGTCATCGGTGACGCTCGCTCGGCTCTAACCGAACAGCTTCTCGAAACACGAATGGCAGTACGGTTTCTCGTTTTGTTCTTTGAACGTTCCCTTGTTGAGCTGTTTCAGGCAAAAGGCGCACACGAAATGCTCCGGATGGAACTTCTTGAACATGGCCGTGATGCAACGGCCCGCGATCGGCTTGTGACATCCGGCGCACAGCGATCCGCGTTTGGCGTGATAGTGCGTCTCGCAGTAAGGCTGGCTCTCGTGGTCGAAGAACTGGCCACTGACGAACGGCATCCGGCAGTCCTGCGAACACACACACGACGGTCAGTATAATATAATATAATATGGTTAAGTGTGGGTGGGTTGATATGTTATAATATGTTATGGGTAGATCGTTGATCATGTAGCTCAACTACGGTTTATGGAAAACGATCTGCAGTTGTGACTTGCAGGTGCGGATCCAGTGCACTGTTCTTTGGGATAACAATTTTGTTACCAGCACAAAAATACTGTAAACGTATTGATTATAAAATATACAACATTTATAGTCAATTATGGTATAGTATAACCAGTATAGAGAACACTCATGTTATGCATTGGATGCCGTGGATCCGTCCCTGCAGGTTGCTGCAACACGACTCGAGAATAATGCATGTCATCGTCGATTACATTCCGGTTATTTAAAGCTGCAGGTAACAAGTATAGGATGAATATAGGTATAGCCACMTTATGAGATGCGCATATAGACAGTGGCGTAACTACGAGCCGGAGGGGGGATGGCTGCGGCTTGGGGACCTCCTTAAAATTTTAAGAAGATTAAAAATGCTACATCCGTATATAAGGCGCAACCATCACATTAATAATTATACTGTATGAATTGTATGAAGATCTTATTGCCAATGGTTAAAATTATTCATGTGCATGTCAGCATGCCAAACTTATGAGGGATTTCTATGTCTAATTAAACCTCACTCCATGTATTTTAAAAACCCGCCTCTCCCCAAGCATAATCTTGGCTACCGAATATATAGGAGTTTAGGATGTTTGTGTTTGCAGTAAGAACGACCAAGGTAGATGGATGATTTAATTATAAATTGAGCCACGGAGAATTCGAGTCGAAAGAAATTGAGTCATTTCTGATTCAGCGTAWATATATATTTACAATTTTTAAGTATTATCGTTTAATAAACATAAAATAACTTTGTTTAAAATCATTATAAAACTATTCATTACACTGTCCGTCTACTCCGTATAGCTTAACTCGTWTATACGTTAATAAAATTATATACTCAAGAGTAGGTACCTACATATAAGCACGTAGACATAATACGCGTAGGCCAGGGCCGCCCGCAACGTGTTTGGAACTTTTTTTTTTAGCTGACCGAGGGATGATCGTTCAAGAACATATTATATGATGTACCTATATTATAAYTATTGACATAATTTTTTATTCTCAGAAACGAACGTATTTTGGCCTTGACATATTATTTTTTTAAATCTTGATATATGCGCTCATACGCATCCATTAAGGCGAAGTGATGTAAATTTGGCAGCAAAATTTTTTTTKTGGTGGGGTGGKTGGTGGTCGGGAGAAAGAATATACTACTGTAGTTAATCTTAATATTATGTTCGAGGACACCGTTGATGACATCACATTATTCCGATGGTGTGACAATCTAAAATTTTCGACCACAACAAAATCATTTTCCATAATAATAATAATAATAATAATAATAGGTATAAATGTTGTTTATTTTGACATGCAACAAAGTAAATTATTCACTATATCAATTATTTTTTGGTTTTACAATAGTATATAATTGTGACATATTATTATATTATGCGAACGAATCGCGATGAAACGTTCTACGTTAAAATATTATAATATTATGTAACATCGCCGTATAGATCATATAAATAGTATATAATATAGTATATTGTATATATATGTATATTATGTATATATAAATAATGTATAGGCATTCAATCCTCCTCATCGACACCGACGCATTTCGCACACGCTGGTTTTCCCTCGATGGCGTAAAAAGATTTGCCAGTGACCGGCTGCTTGCAATCCTATAATGCACAAAATGTCGCGGCCGATAGTGAGACGGCTGCGTTTAAATCCACTGCCGATGCCGAAGCAGAAGCAATCGGAAACGCGATGTTATAGAATATAGAACGACAGACGTCGTATTGTTACAAGCAAAATCCAAATCATTACGATATCATAATAATACATTATTTATTATGCATGATAAGTGTAATAATTTTTTTTTTAAAGCGAGTAACTCAACAGTTGCAACACATTAAGAGATAAATATATAATATATAATTAGAGTTAGGACGTTTATGACTTTTATACGTTTTTTTATTAGTAATACACATTACAGATCAAACTATAATTCGCTGTTTGGTATGACGTAATAGGATGTTTTTTAACGACATTTTTCCTATATCATAGCTCTTACATCTTAGATTTCGAAAAAATATCCAAGTACCTTATACTCAAGTATAAAAATATTATAAAATATTATAAAAATTAATAATTCAAAAGTTTAAAATTATTATTAAAAATGTATAGGTGCCTATTTAGTAAATATGTTTTTGAATGAATTTTTTTCAATGTATACAATTTAATAATACCATATTTGATTATTTCAAGGGAATGCTTTGATAATTTTTGGACATATTTACACGCTTTTTGAGGTCATAGACATCTTAACTCTGGATATATTATTTGTGTTATTGTGTTAAATGTTTACAACCGAAACCGAATATTATATATTCATACGATAAGCAGCAGCTATATAATATAATAGAAGCGCAGTGATACTCCATTGAAGTTTTGTATTCATTCGCGTTTCACTCGCACTCGATTTCATTAAAAAACACACTCCTCCCTCAATCTTCCAGTCCCCACCCATAGATGAACATTGTGTGTCGTTTTCGAGAACATTTCCTTTTCTGACACATTTTTATTCTCATTACGGCTTACAACAGCTTAGGGAAGGGCTGTACCGCTACGATTACTACCACGACAAAATAAATAGGTATGTCAACAAACTTTGTGATGTTCGTCGATCACTCCTGTCTACAAACACAAACATAGTTTGCATTTTCTTATTGATAGAATATAATTTTATGATAATACTTATGATAATACTTATGTCATATTAAACATCATAATATTATGTAATTTTGACGGTCATTACAAAATTATGAATAAAATCACTAGTATACAGGGTGGTTGGTCAAAGGGCTGGTATGTGTCGGTCGCATTTTTGCTTACATAGTGACATAACTATTTATTTTATTGTGGTTACTATATACTATATCATTATGTCGCGTGCACAGCTATAACGACAATACTGATAAGTATATAATATGATAAATAATTTCAATTTCACAGCCATCGTACATAGATCACGCATACGATATACAAATTATAATAATAGCCGCGATACATTTTGAAGCTCACGCTGGTCCAATGCCAGGCACGACTGTATATTATACACATATAGAGTGAAAATAATATTCTAGCGTCCGCGTATATTATAGAGCGTAGAGCTGTGCAGCAACCTACAAAAAAAAAACAAACAAACAAACAAACAAACAACAAAAAAAGTTCCATCGGCTAAAAATACACACACACCCGCACATCGGCGAAAAATAAAGAATAGTATAATATACAATACCAATAACTACATTTAGAAAAGCAAAACGTAAAACAATATTTTATTAATATTATCGTATCTTTACATCACACTCGTATCATTATTATTATGTATAGAAATTAGGTACGTGTTGGCTTACCCGGCAGACGAAACAGCTGGAATGCCATTGAGTTGACAGGGCCGATACGTAGTTCTCCATTATGGGCCGGTTGCAACCTCCGCACTTGGGCGCGAACATGTCGAAGTAATCGTCTTTGCAGTACGGGCGACCTTCGCGCTCGTGGAATCCTTCCTCGCCGAACTGTTTGCCGCACTGGGCGCAGAAAAAGTGTTCCGTGTGCCAGGTCTTCTCCAGGGCCGTCACACATTTCTGAAAATCGAGGGGAAAGAAATCAAACGAAAATCCTCAGTTGACTATATTTTTAAATCGTATTTTCAAAAAGTATATAGACCAGTCGCGGTTGAATAACTGCTKGGATAGGAAAACGGTTAGATTAAGTAAAAATCGTCAAATAAGCGGCGAAAAATGTATAGCTTCCTTACAATTTGCGCTCGTTTAACGAAAACGTCATTTAAGCATATTACCTAGAGTAGATTTTTTATGAATAGACGACGAAGCGGCTTATAACACGCGCGTGTGGGTGGGTCGTAAGAGCAGTATAATCCAAGGCGCACACAACCTGATCGGGCGTGGTTGACCCCATTATTATATTGCAGCACMTTTATCATTTTCAAAAGGTCTGCAACCGGCTACCTCGGGGCGAACTTTTTATGGCGTGCTCAACTTTAGCGACCGCCACTATATACGATGAAGACCCTACTCCAAATTTAAAATCTCAACCCCCCATCCCCACTACAGTACATCCAGACACATCCACGATGGTACTAATCAACTGAACGGGGCTGGGAAAACAGTTTCTGAAGCCGCTGTGCTTACGTCGAGTATGGGTCCGTTGCAGTACGCGCATCTGGGCGAGAACAGGTTGTGGTAGTCCGGTTCGCAGTATGGCCGGCCTTCGCGTTCGAAAAAATTGCGCGTGCCCAGCTCCTGGGAACAGTGGTTGCACGTGAAGTGTTCCGGGTGCCAGGTCTTGCCCAGCGCCGTTATCACCTGCCCGACGATGGCCTTGTCGCACGCTGTGCAGCATCCCTTTTGCGTCGTGTTCACGCCCTGTCTGTTCATCTCGGCCGTGAGGCTGCCGAGCATGCAGTCTAAACGCGGCGCCGCCGAGTCTACCGATTCGGTAGCGTAGCTAGCCCGCACCGGACTAGACACCTGTTGAGAAACACAGAAACGGAACAGGATAAATTATAGTATATTAATAATATGACGATTACTGTTGGAGTTCTAAATATTAAATATCTTTCAATGATAACAATAAACATATATTTTTGTTAAAACCGTTTTCATTTTTCGACATTATGTATGAGGTAAATGTTATTCGAAATTATTTATCWGTAACTTGGAACCTGACCTCCTGCTATATATGTCACTTGTAGATCTTACTCCGTGTGTTTGTAATTATTTTYGCAGATGTGATAAAGATACTGTTGTGTATCTAATACGTGCCTAGCTATTATACTATCAATCACTGAGAAGCTAAAAATCGACAGATACAGTTACAATGGTTATGGCTGGAGCAAGCACGTTTGCTAAATTCAATTATAACTGTCAACCTAGAAACTTAAAATATACAAGTATTTGAATTACTTTAAAATAAATAACCACGTTTAAGTACCTGTTATGTGGTGACTAAACACACGGACGGAGTAGTATTTTATAATATTGCGTTTGACTGTACTTTTCTTCAAGATTTTAATCAAAACTTTTATAATACGACGCGCATAAAAACTGAAATATTATAATCGTCGACGTCGCTGCTGCAGCTATTGTTGTTGTTGTTGTTGTTATTACTATTAATACTATTTTACAAACGATAAAGTCACTGACAGAATTGTTTGGATTTGTGAAGCGTCGGCGGTCCGCGGCTTCGGTATATAAAACGTGAGTTGTTTTGCCCACGGCTGCCAAACCCCGCCCGCGGATGCACCGCGTAAGAAGGGACGAAAATTTCTCGTCTCGTTAAAAAAGTTATTTCTGGAAACTGCCAATAATGGGTACAACAACAGCGAAAAGCTAGTCTGCACAAGGCACTAAAGTTCCCTTTCTACCGGGTGAAACGGTGAAAATAAAATCGCTCGGAGGACCGTGGACGACAGTGACCAACCGCCGACGGTCATACGTGTTGGCGACCGTCCCGCTGCGGCGGCGATTATCTGTATTATAATTTATGCMGGCGTGGAGTTTAAATCGTTCGTAGTGTTCGTACAATCGTACACCTGTCCTGTGTTCAGGGCGAATGTAAGTTCTCACACGACACATATTATTACATAGGCACATAGCAGATAACATACCAATGTACAAGTTCTTACACGAAAAAATCATCATATTGTGTTATTTCTTAGKTCCAAAAATATATTCGTATAAATGACAATAACAAAATTTTGATATAAGAACAAATTCTGAATCAAGGTATGTGAATTCAACATGCTGTTTTGACAAGGTTAAAAAKAATTTTGTGTTGCATAAAAAACGTTTTTAATCCAATTTTTTACGATCAAAAAGTACTGAAATTCAACTAAAATAGATTGTCCATCATACTATTTTGTATCATATAGTTAGGTAATAAAGAAAAGTCTAGAGAATAGTTAGGACTAGGTATGTTATACACATGCACAGTACAGAAATTAATGCATTTAGTTTCTCTCCATGTAGGAACTACACTTACAGGGGATATTTTTCCAAGTAGTAACTTCCATAATATATGTGGCCATCATTATATGTGACCGTTTACCTGCTATGTTTCGTGTGAAAACTTATAAATTCTCTTCGATTACGCGAGGTATACTGCTCCTATTACTATACCTCCCACGTTATTTTTCATGCAAATTGTATAACATCAGCACTGCGGCGCAGATACTTACTACAAATTTCGACGGACGACGAAACGAGATTTAGAGTTTTTTTTGTCTAAAAATTAAGTGCATTTTGTGTCACAGCCAAACGTTTTTAGTACAAAAGTTTTCMCCAGATAACCTCTAATGCCTCATGAAATAGTCAGGTTTTGGTATTTTTTTATTTTATTTGAATGACGATGACTTAATGGAAATCTCATTAGAGTGTTAAAAACTTTATTAACAAAAGTCGTAGTAAACGTATACGAGTCACAGATTTTTGAATATTTTAAAATGAATTTTTTCAATGATGTATAATGAATTAAAAAATCGGAGACAACCTAAATAGAGTTTTAAGCTTTCAAATTAAAAAAAAAAAGTATCGAGATSCGACTAATCTACGGGACAAGGTCGTCTTTCCTAAATATTTGGTTTTTAATTGTTTCAAAGTATTAGCTTTATCATATAATATGCGTTAACCGCCGCCATCGACACAAWACGTTAACTTCCTATATATTTTGCCACTTAATAAATTGACAAATTCGACACCCTTAACACAAATTATTACAGTTATTAGAATAAGTTATCTAGATTAAGTATTATAAAATATCTTCTAAAATCCAACTAAATTAATGCATAACTATTGATGAGTGTGACGAGAACAAACTAAAAACATTTTTATATTTATTGAGTACAAAAAAAAAACCTTAAGGTACGAATAAATTTAGTTTTAACTGTTAAAAAAATATTTAGGTGTACTTAATTCATAAATAATGGTATTTGTTTCGTACAATTTATCACCATTAGATCAATACAATAAACGGTAAATTCATATAGTAAATAGTAATATTTTAATTAGATAAATCATMATAATTTTTATTCCTCATGAGTCATGACTATAGACATATATTTTATTTATTTTTGGAAACCTACACGCAGAATTTAAAAAAAAAAATGAAATTTTCCAGGTAAATTTCCCCAAGGGTATTTGTATAGGCCTATAACAAAATCCTATCGCTCATAAAATTACTTAAAAAATAATTGAGAAATGTAACCGAAGTTTTTACACCATTCGATAACATTTTTTTTAAAGCAATTATTTATTGTTAAACTATAGCTCCTACCCCTTCGAGCACCAAATAATAATCTATCTTACATGATTATTAAACGTTAATAATATTATACAAAGTTGAAATAACGAAAAATAATAAATCACTTATACCATTACATTTTGGCATTGTAAGATGTTAGTTTAATTTTAGTTAGTCAGGTCGTTACTATCTATAAATGCGTAATCGAAAATATTATATTGCCTTCATCAATAACTGTCTTTGCGTGACCTTAGCTACACCTTTATATGGAATTATATTTATTTTTTTGGTTTATAACTATTATTTAAATTTCCATCACTTAAATAAAATTATACACCAACATTACCATGGTAATCACTTGATGTTGCATAAAATATTTTCCTTTCCAATAAATAAACATATTGTTAGAATATCTATCAGAACATATGTTATCAATAACTTTAGATCTATATTGTCTCAATATTTTCACTTGATGTTGCTTAAAATATTTTTTTGTCCATCATATACGAGTATATATATTGTTACAATATGTTTTAAACATTTATTTATAAATATAGTTTTGTTCATAATATTATAAACATATTGTCAAAATGTTTGAACCAAAATATTTTGAAGGACATACCTAAAGAAAACATATGTCTACAATATAAATATTTTCCTATTGCTATCTGRGCAACTTATGTATATTTCAACTGATATGTTTTTCGTTTATTACTACTACTATATATAGTATATATATATGTATATATATTATATATGTGTGTGTATATAATGTATATAGTATATCAACGTGCAAGAGGAAGAAAATAATGAATAAGAAAACATAAGAAATAATAATTGTATAATATAATACATATTATTATATAGATGCACGGTAGGTATTCTAAGTTTTAACAAAATAAACTATTAAAATAATAATAATCTATTATTATAAAATAGAAATGTCATAATATTTTAATAGAATTTTAACTCACGAATTAGTGAACAATATAAGAATAATAACACTATTATGAAAGTTATAATAAATGATACTTAATAAATTAATAATTATTTAAAATTATTTAATTCATTACTATTTGTTAACTGAAAAATTTAAATAATACATAGGTATTTGATATTTAATCAATCGACAATTCTCCTGTTATCTATTAAAATTATTTTAACCATTCGTTTTAACCGCATTGAGATAATATAAAAGTATTCAAGAACAAACGTAGTTAATTTAAATATTAAGTAATTACTCACTATATTACACCTAAGTAAAAATAAAAAGAATAATAACGGTTAGGTATATAATAATATACCTTTCTAACAATATACCAGGGAACCATTTTATATTATCAGAAATAGTCATTAAAATTGTAATAAATTACGACTAGGTTTTAACGTTTGATTATTTTATACCTAATAGCCAATAGGTACTATTAATAATAATAAAAAACAATATTAGATTTGGATTTATAATAGAATAATTATCAAATTATTAAAATAAAATAAAATTTCATGAGTTACCTTGCTAACAGATAAATCATAAATGCATAATAGTTATGATGTACAAAACCCATTTATTTAATTAATAGATACCTACTGTTTGGTATACAACAGTTTTTTTATACAATACATTATTGTTATGACTAAAGCGTCCTTAATATTTTTTATAAAATGGTGGTTGGTGAAAATTTCTAGCTTTTATCGCATAAAATTAAATAAAATGTTCCACAATATATCGTTTTAACTGCAGATATATTACATGTCATAAATCTAATTTAAATGAGATTTAGAATTTTATAAATTATTATTATGCAAAATAAAAATCATCAAAAATAAACAGAAACTTGAATAAATGATGTACATTAGATRTGCTACACCTACGTCTTTCCAAATTTAAATGCTTTCTACAACTTTTGGATGTTTGTTTTTAAGTATATAAAATATAGGCTATACTTAAAACTAAAGCTGTATTTTCCTAATTTAAAAATATTTTCATCTAAGCTTAGATTAACAGTTRCCTTAAAGGGCTTAAAGTATATAACATTAGGGCGGAAATTTATTCWACAAACAATATAACATCTTAGGAGACTTAAAATTCTTGGGCAATAAAAAAAAAAMAACTAAATTTATTGGACGGCACTACAATTGTTATCCATTTAAGAGATGATATACTTTTCATATTTATTTTCACTACGATAGTCGATAATGATTTCAAATGCATATTATAATTTATTATTTAGAAGTTTCCATTGCAATGAAACTGTAATAATTTAGTGCAGTTCGAATGAGTGATAGCTGGACACAAATCTAAGCTATACTCGTAGTCTATAGAGTATAGGWATATAAAATGTAAGTTAGTTTTAATGGATTTTACAACCAAATATCTAAAAAAATTTCCAACTCGTGAAAATGATCTATTCAYGTGTACAATTAAATATTATATTAATGAGCATGGGTTGTTATTTTTAAACAATTCTAACCGAAAACGGTTTAATAACCCATATTACTAAATATAATATTTTATGATAWTTTTATACTGCTATCAGAGTAATTTAATTTACTTTAAGTAAAATTAATGTTATGATAGGTTTAATTAATTTCAACTGAAAACATATATAATACTATTAATAGTACCTGTTTATTAATTACAATAGTATACATTTATATAATATTTTAATATATTATAATTTTTTATTGATTTTTGAGTCAAAACGACTACTGTACAACGATATGTGAAAATATGATATAAATAGGCAATAGCATAAAATTAATCAAAATATTTGAATATGGCATTGTGTATATTATAAATTATWATAATATACTTAAAAATTTCAAGTTCCACGAATAATATTTTTGAATCACAACAACATAACTAAAATCATTCTTTTCTTCTTTATTTAAATACCTAATTTCATCCGAATTTGAACTTTAAACATTAATGAAAAAAA